CCAGCTCCATAATATCAGCTATATGGCGGTCTGTAAATGTCGACAATGTGGGGTTAGAATAGGTCTCCATCATTTACCTTATGCTGTCTAAATGGACTAGCCTCAAGCATTAAGCTCAATGGACCGGGTTTGATTCATGGGCACAATGTGTGAAGCCCATTTCTGGTGTCCCCTGCTGTGATAATGCTGGTCTTTGCTAAATGACGGCAATAGCTCAAATGGACTAATTATATATTCTTCTATTTTACCAAGATCTACACCTCATGATACCAATCACTGGTTTCCCTAATCCCTTTCTAGATGATGATTAAGGAGTGCTAATGTTTATGTAGCAAGGGGTGTTTAAGGTATGAAATACTAATGTTTGAGTTAAATGCAGGTTATTTCTATTGTAACATAATAATAATAGAAATAGAAATACATTTAGTTGAATTCAAGGAAATTCAAAATATGAGGGTTGATGTAATCACTCTGACTCCTTTGGACAACTCCACAATGTGACAGGACTTGCAGTGATGTTCATCATGTTTGTCATCAATTCATGTTCATCATGTTGTTTGTCACAAAGAACATGGAGTCACAAAGGCTGGACACATGTGGCAGTCATGGGTATATCAACAAGAACTGGTTGTGAAACTGTACCCCCAACGTTTACACCGTATCATCCTCAGCTAACAAAGAAACCCAAACATGTGACTAGTATATAAATCATGGTCTCCCAGCCAGAATCTGTCCCCAGACAAGATCTCAACAGCAGCCAACAATGAAAGGCACTGTACACATAGCCTTGACAGTGGGGGTTGGAATGTTTCAGGAAATGCATAACCAATACCACTGACAATGAATTCTATTCTATTTATGCTTCTGCTGTTAGTGAAAGTTGTCAAAAGAAATTCTTTTTTTCACACTGGTTGTTCGCAACAGCATTCAGTAATATTCCACCTGAGATATATTCAAGCTGTCCAGCCGTCTGTAAATAATCCAGTCTGGACCAGACAATCCAGTGATTGACGAGAACAGTCCACACCAGGTATAATGACATTCAATCAACTATGTCACAGAGACTGACCACCAAATCCACTTAAGACATTGTGTGTAACTTTAAAATCTGCTGTATGTGTAGTTGATAATCGATAAATATAAAAATAAATATCAGAGAAGTAACTTTGATCAAAAAGAAAAAAACTGGAAAGAAATCAACATATTTCGAATGGTGTGCGGAAAAAAAGTACCAGAAAAAAGTCCTAAATTTGCCTAGGAAAATAGTCCTCTGGAAAAAAAGTCCTATTTTGAAAATGGAATTTTTGACAAAAGAATAAAAAGTATTTGTTAGTTTTTTATAGTTTTTAATAGCGTTTATTGACTTTCATGTATTATATATTCATATAAGAAATGTAAAATAGCCAGATCCTGTATAGATTAGAGGTTTTCAGCTTTATTCCTACTACAGAATATTGATGAATATTAATGTCTACTGACTCGTATTTATTCATATTTCAAAACATTGTTCTAAAGATCAAAACATTGTTTTAAAGATCAAAGATCAATTTGACTATCTAATCTGTCCGTTATAATCACAAAATGTAAGTATTTCATGTAAATGTAAGACACTTTGTCACTTACAACACATGCCTTTGAAAACATTGTATTAAAGATATAATCACAAAATGTAAGTACTTCATGTTTCTAAATGTCATTTAAAAGATCAAAGACCAATCTAAATATTTAATATGTCCTTTTAATCACCCTTTGTAATGTGAGTACTTCATGTTTTTATAAGTGTCATTAAAAGATAAAAGATCAATTTATCTATTTAATAACCCATATTGTGAGTTATCAGTGATTTTCTAAAATCTTTGACCTCAAAGTTAATGAATAAATTGGTTTTTATTACAATAGGACTTTTTTCCTGGAGTACTTTTTTCCGGCACTTTTTTACTTAGGACTATTTTTCCTACAATCTTTCTAATCACTGGTGAGTGGCGATATATTTAGGTTTGGATTACTAACAGAACACTGACCTGAACATCTTTAGAAGCAGCACATGAATAATGAATTATCTATCCTTATGTATTGTCTGAGTAAATTAAAACGTTATTTCATCTCAATAGTTTATGTACGATATTATCAATGACAAAATTTTCATATCGATAATCATGATGATTACCATCGACAATATTTCCAGTTATCAATCTATCTTTTAGGGAGCCTTGGTGTGTAGGCTGAATGATAAACTAGAAGGCAGCAATCTTTTGAGAAAATGTTCTGCCAATTCTGCACCACATCAAAGCATTCACTCACAGGATTCTTTAGCATGTTTAACAAAGTTCATGCATATTCATTAACAAACCACCCCTCGGCCTTGAATTTTAGAACCCTTGCCCAATCTTGTGAGTGAATGAATATTGTTTTACACTGCTTTTAGCAATACCACAGCAGGGGACACCAGAAATGGGTCTTTCACATTGTACTGAGACCTGAACACAGGATTTTGGCATGATAAGGAAACGCTTTAACCACTAGACTACCCCACCGCCCTCTGAACAATCTTCACGTGCTCTGTTCAAGGCTATAACAGTACAGTTGGGGCTTGCTAGCCTTGCTCTAAGGCTTTACTGAATGCAGGGGTGGAAATAACTTTAAAATTGCTGGTGTACTCCGGTACAGTGGCACATGTAAAATCACTTGCCATGATAATTTTTCCACTATACCGGCCATTTTCTTGTTGATTTTTTAAATAAACAACATAATTAACATTGGACACCGGTACAGTGTGATATACAAATTTGCTTGCCCGACAGAAAAAAACACTGGACTGGGGCGTCGGGCAATGGGTTATTTCCACCCCTGGAATGATACAGTCAAGAATGTTTAGTAAGTCTATCCTTATAATAAGCAAGTCTAGATAAGGATGCCCATCTTTCACAGAGGAAACCTTCTTATTGTTTATATTATTGAAATTAAGATTTAAACTAATAATTATTACCTTAAAGACTTGTACATGTGTAAGACAGTCAGAAGAGAAAATATTATGTCTGAAGGACTCTGAGCCAGGATAGGCCTCCCACGTCATGTTTCTTTGTCATGATAATTGTCATGCAGCATCATGAACTGGTCACATGACATGGAACTTCAGAGATGCGATCTGTAACAGTAAGTAACCACCATCTTTAAGATTCTGTTGACCTATTTTATGCTTATGTCAGATAAGAATGAAATAAAGCTTTATCGACATGACAGAGTTATTCACAACACAGTAAAGATAAAAGAATGAAAAAAAATGACATCCTTTGTGCATGTCTTCAAAAACAAGTTTCCAGAAAGGTTACATGGGCGTTGTTAACCCTTTTAGGTCTGGTTCAAATGAATTATGTCTCCATGCACAGATAACATGAAAATGCTAACAATGTACATCCTGCAATAGATATCTCTCTCTTGTCTTTCTACTAGTGACAAAAGTTATGGAGGAGGGATTAATCTAGACTTGCTCAAAGGTTGTTATTCAGCCATATGTTAGATGATTGCTAAGTGTCTCTGAATATTTATAATTTTGATAGAAACAGATGTTTCCTTTTAAACTGAAAAGTAGCCCCTGTGAGATGGGAGATTGTGAGCAAATCTAGACTTGCTTCATTTAGAGCTTTAGAACTAAAGGAAGAGTGAGTTTAGTTTTACGCCGCACTCAGCAATATTTCAGCTGTATGGCGGCGGTCTGTAAATAATCGAGTCTGGACCAGACAATCCAGTGATCAACAGCATGAGCATCGATCTTCGCATTTGGGAACCGATGACATGTGTCAACCAAGTCAGCGAGCCTGACCACCTGATCCCGTTAGCCGCCTCTTACGACAAGCTTGGGCTACTGAAGATCAATATTCTAACCTGGATCTTCACGGGTAAACTGAAGAAAGAGCTGGAGCTGCACAGAAGGGAAAATGATACGTTTCAGGAACTGTGAGACAGATTAGGCCATAAGTCTGCAGAAACTGACAGTAAAACTTCTGAATTTGAATTACCGTAAAACTTTCCCATTTCCTCAGACTTTATGAAAATAAGAAAATATTAGAGATATCGAGAATTTTCTCAATTTGCCAGCTCAAGACAGACACTTAGTTTTAAAACCCTGATTAAGCCCTGTGGGCCATGTGATTCTATTATATTTATGTGGTTAATCTGTCATATGAAAAAGTGAGGGAGTGGTTTTACACCACTTTTAGCAATATTCCAGCAATGTCATGGCAGGGGACACCAGAAATGGGCTTCACACATTGTACCCAAGTGGGGAATCAAACCCGGGTCTTCAGTGTGACGAGCGAACGCTTTAACTAGGCTACCCCTCTGCCCCATCATATGAAAGAATGTGAAAGAATCACATGGTCCATGAGTGTTTTTATAGAGAGGGATGCCTTGCAAACTGAGGCAGTTTCAATTTGAAATGTGCTGGTGGTCTATTCACTGTGTTGCATCTCATACGAATACCAGAGACCTGTTACTGTGGGTTGTGGTGCCAGATTCTTTGATTATGTTTCTAGGTTTGTCAACCCCATGCCCATTTTTGTGGGCTTCACCAGGGTAAATGTCTTAGACCAGCGTCATTTAGGGCTATTTCTTTACCATTTGTTTACAATAAGCTGACCTGATGTCATGTTAGTTGAAAGTGGCATGAAACTCACGCACTCACTCACTCACTCACTCACTCACTCACTCACTCACTCACTCACTCACTCACTCACTCACTCACTCACTCACTCACTCACTCACTCACTCACTCACATGGTGTTGATCACTGGATTGTCTGGTCCAGATTGGATTATTTGCTGACCGCTGCCATGTAGCTGGAATATAGCTGAATACAGCATTAAACAATAACGTACAAAACAATCATGTTTAAAATGCCAGCACTGAATGCTAAGGGTTAAATCGTATATTAACATGCTGATCCGGATGATAATATCATTCTGTAGACACGAGAGATTTATAATAGTGGGAGGGACACATGCCCTTGTGCCCTTGTGTCTCTCTGTTAAGGCAGGTTTAGGATGATATCAGGGTGAGATTTTCACCAAGAGTCTGGCACATAATCCGTGCATCATGGACGAGGAGTCCGATTATCTACGTGACGTGGAGGACATCTTGAGGCGGTGCAGTGTCCAGCTAGGTGACGGGAATCTGCCGGCGGAGTCAAGGAGGCGGTCATCGCTCTGTGTTACTGATTGTGGAAGTGTGTGCTTATATGAAAGTAGGTCCTTTGTGGAGAGTTAAGTGATCAATTGTACATGTGGGACAGGGATGTATGTCAGTGTGGCTCTGGATGTTGGAATTACTATAGTTTAGGATTTCATTGCCATAGATAAGGGTCAAGTAAACCATGTGCATATGTAACAATTTCACAATAATCATAATCATCAGTGTCATCATCTCGGACATACACAGAAGACATTGTTGACATGTTGAGGCAATACATAATGGTTTTATGTAGGGTCAGGGGCGTAGCTACCATACCAAAATAAAGCCCGGGCTTACACATGATTTTGAAAATGAAAGTTGGACAAGTCCTCAATACTATCTAAATATAAGCCTTTGCAACCTATCTGGCTTACACAAATAAAATGGCTTGCTATGTGCCTGAGGGTGTTTGTGTGTGTATGTTGAAGTTGGGGCGGGGGTGGAAGCAGTGGTAATGTGACCTTGTGTGAAGGCTAGATACACGTTCACCTACAACTATAAAACCAGAATTAAATTTTTTTTTCTCATTTCTCAAAACTCATTTGGTCAAAAATACTTTTCAACAATGCATATCTTTTCTGTGACAGGCGGACCGTCTCCGTGGTGTAGTGGTTAGGAGAGCGGAAGGTCGCGGGTTCTATCCCCGATCGCGTCATACCAAACACCACTATTCTGCTTCAGTGCAATCTAAGCAAGTCTAGATTTTACACAAGGTCTGAATGTCTCATCTCACTGATCTCCTTTGAAATTAACATGGAGATCTTTATTAGATAAAAAAGATATACAGCAGTTGCCAGATACTGTGTGTTAGTACATTACTACCATGCTTCTCTGTGTGGTTGATTATAACAATCGTGTAGATTGGATGCTCATGATGTCAATCACTGGATTGTCTGGTCCAGACTCGATTATTTACAGACTGCCATCATATAGCTGGAATATTGCGGAGTGCGGCCTTAAACAACAAACAATCAAACCGGCCTCTCTGTCCAATGTTTCTGCAGTACACAACATACCCTAAACACAGTATGAACATGGTAAAACTCTCTATCTCCAACACAGCTGAGTGTCTCCTTGTAAACCTGTTAAGTACTCTAGTTCTAGGTTTGGGTCTGTATAACCCTTTGATGGAGCAGTTTAGTAATCTCACACCTGTTGCCATCAGCTATTACGACAGGCGTCAGATAGTGGTCAGGTGCTACTGGCGGCAATGGAACGGCAGAACATGAATGGTAAACCCTTGGTTAATGGCTTGAGTTGGTGTCTGACTGGGATTGTCGGATGTTGATAGGATGTTGATGGGGAGAGTGCTGGAGTGGAAAAACAGTTTTGAGGAAGGAAGCTTCAGACAGCTCTCATGATGAGGATGATGCTTTTAAGGTGCACCAAGCACAGCACTCATGATGATGATGATGATGACGACAATGACGATGATGACTTTAAGGTGCACAAAGCACAGCTCTCATGATGATGATGATGATGATGATGACGACAATGACGATGATGACTTTAAGGTGCACCAAGCACAGCACTCATGATGATGATGATCATCGTTGCCATCGTAGGATTCAATTACAGATATTTTTCTTTTAAGAAATGCAATATCGTGCATGGTGTGAGCATGTATATTACTCTGCTGCCTACGTCTTGGCATGAAATGAAAGGAAACTGGTCAGCGACCTTTGCCCTAACAATTGTTGTAAGTCTAAGCTATAAGTGTCCTGAGCCCTTGCCTAAACAATGTCTTGAATGCTTGTATGTTCAACTCAACAATTCACATTCCCCAAGGCAAGATGATCAGTTCTGACCCAAGGCAACTCTCATTACTTCAGCCATCATGGACTGAATGTATGGATTCCACATCGTCAAGCCTGACCAACAGGAGGTCTGTGTCATACACAAGTGGTCAGCAGAATCATGTTACTCCCAATGATCACTGTGAATGTTAGGAGCTCGAGTTCCATCTCACCTAGATAGATTCACATTACCACCTGTAGCACTCTGTCTCACAGTCCCTGAACCACATTATTTCCTACTGCCCAGCCCTCCCTGCAATGCTAAAGCCCTGAATGAACCAAGTTTAGATTTTCTCAGGTTCTGAATCCAGTGGCGGATCCAGAGGGGGGTTCAGTGGGTTCGAACCCCCGCCCCTTTGAAAACGACTAAAGACCACATTGAAGTTAATGTTTTGCAATGGCAGAGCCAAGGTGGGGTTCAGGGGGTTCGAACCCCCTGAACCTCCCCCTTTGAAAATTTCTGGATCAGCCTATGGAATCTCCCATCTTATTGATGTTCATTTCTTTTTTAAAGGAATTATTTGTTTCTATCAAAATTATATATTGTCAGTAACTAAGGGTTAGTCTAACTTAGGGCTGAATAAGAGCCTGTGAGCAGGCCTAGATCAATCCCTAGTTCAAAATGTTTAGTATATCATCTGATGAAGGCCTTGCAGCAAGAGGCTCCAGGTCAAACCATCCAGTGGTAGAGGAGAAACTGTGAGTACATGTAAGGATTCAAATGATAAACCAGGCCTATATCAGATCTATCTGGTGAATATCTGCATATATTGTGATTAAAACCAGTGTAGCTGCTAACAAGAGGCATGTCTAGCAAGCTTTTTACCGCATCAATATTTCGTTGTTTAAAAGTTTTCATATATTTTGTGTTATTTTTATTTTCAAATTCATAGACTTGACATTAGTTCAATCATAAACCACCAATGACAAATACATAATTACATTCCTTCTCATGTGTCATTTCATCATTTGAGAGCCTCCCCACTCACCCCAGATCTATTTTAAGAAATTACTAATGTGCCATTTCATTCATTTAAGAGCTACAATACTCACCTCAGAATTTTATTTTTTTTAAAACATTACTTGCTTCTGGAAATCTGACTCGCCATTGTTTCACACTTACCACCCAAGTGTTTTTTTGACATCTGGAAACAGTCCTCTAGGAACCCATTTCTAACATTTGGAAAAAAATGTTTTAACACTGCTGGGGCTATTTTTACCAACAAACTCAAGAAACATGGAGAGTACCAGAAGTCATAGACAAGCCATGAATGTGTTGAAGGTTATATAAAAAATTCTGAATGAAAAGAGTACCCTTAGCAAAAGAGTGAATGAGTGAGTTTATTTTTACGCCGCACACAGCAATATTCCAGCTATATGGCGGCGGTCTGTAAATAATCACGTCTGGACCAGACAATCCAGTGATCAACAGCATGAGCATCGATCTGCACAATTGGGAACCGATGACATGTGTCAACCAAGTCAGCGAGCCTGACCACCCGATCCCGTTAGTCGCATCTTACCACAAGCATGGGTTACTGAAGATCAATATTCAAACCCGGACCTTCACAGGTATGCCTTAGCAAAGAACAGAAATATAGTTGTTTAGGACATGTTCAGGGGCAGTAGGGTAGCTTAGTGGTTAAAGTGTTCGCTCATCGCGCCAAAGGCCCGGGTTCAATTCCCCACATGGGCACAATGTGTGAAGCCCATTTCTGGTGTCCCCCCCTGTGATATTGCTGGCATATTGCTACATCGGGGTAAAGCTAAACTCACTCAGTCAGTATTACATGTTCACTTAAACACAACTTTTTGGGTTTTCACCCAAGACTAACTTTGTTTAGGATTACATGAATATGTTTTATGAATATTCTACCGTCATTAAATAAGATTAAGTTTACACCATATATTAACTAATCATAAATGTGTTTATTGATACAATTTAGGAGTGAGTTCTAAGCCCACAATTTCATCTCCAATATCTTCAAAATGTTATATGCTGTAATATATCTCCGATTGTACCAGTAGAGACTCTAATTGCAATCTCTACTAGTAGGATCGGAGATTCTACCAGTAGAGACTCCGATCTCAATCTCTACTGGTAGAGACTCCTATCGCAATCTCTACTTGCAATCTCAACCCTGACATATATATTTAACTAGGGCTGTGTATTGACAAATGAATTCTATTGCAATATATTTCGATTCAGGTACCTGTATTGTGATACATATTGCGATATACAGTCAAATCCCCGATGAGTCGAATCGCTGGGGACCAAGTAATAAATTTGACTTATCAATGTATTCGAGACATAGGTATGTCTATGAGGGTAGAAAAAAAGATGATCCAGTCCTAATTCCTCCGCCTAAGCATTTGTTTATCTAATGATTTCCATATTACTAATAGGGGCACCTTATCAGTTCCAGTCTGATTAGCACAGACAGTGATTTCCGTAAAATCACTAATCTGCCTTTTGAACTCACCCATCAATGGCGGAAAGGTGTGAGCCGCGCTGGTTTGTTAATTGGATCAGTTTGCTACACCAATCAACTTCTCATTGACTGACTTCGGCTTATGTATACAAGATTGCTGTTGTTTGAATCTCATGGGACCAAATTTCCTTCTCGAGTCATCGTGTGTATTTATGAGACGAATTCGTGTAACCGGTATTCAAATGATGACAACTATAACAGGGAATGGTCGGGACCGACAGGTACTTCGAGTTATGCATAATATTCGAGACACCGGCATTCGACTCATCGGGATTTGACTGTATTGGGAACTTAAAGGTTTGACAGTAAGTGACACTAATTGTACATGTCGATCCTATTTTCTACATTATAAGTCCCTAAACATAATGGTTCTGATAACCGCAATCTCAAAATAAGGTTGCATAGTCATGGATTCTGTTCTCTTTTTTTATGCCATTTATAGTATTACAGTATGCAGTTTTGTCATTGAATAACGAAAGAAAACATCTGTTGTCAATAAAAGTATGTGTAGATTTTAATTTAAACCATGATGATAATCACAAAGAGTGCATACATATTCTTTACCCAATACACCGGTTCTCAGAAAAAATATTGCAGTACGTATCGTTTAAGAAACGTATTGCGATGTACCGGTATACCGGTAACACCGTGCAGTCCTATATATAGCAATGCATTAATAAAGGGCTATCACATGCAGGGTTTTATGTGACTTCCAAAGTATGGAG